GGAAGGCCTGGCGCAATATGGTTCATGGAGTCACGAAGAGTCGGACACGACTTAACGACTACACAACAACAAAATTGACCCTTTCAAACTAAATTTGTACTATGGACATTCACCATTTGATGAAGGACTTACAACAATCCCAGCAATAAATTATTATGGAGACCTACAAACTAGGCAAGCAGATTTAAAAACAAAAAAAGCACAGTGAATTTATACATATATCAGGCTCTTTGGCAGCTGCCTAAAACTGAAAGTGATTCTTTCCAAGCATGATTCTTATTGTCTATTTAGCAAGATTTATTGAAAAAAAAGGATGGCATTTTAAGAACTCTAGCAAGTGGACTTTTCCCATTTAGAACCAATGTGACAGAACAGAGAATTTAAACACTGTCTGCCATCCTGTCACATGATCTCCCAGACATACAGACAATACTTGCAGCTGATAACTTGAAGATAGGAAAGAGCTGGGGAAAACAGATAAGGCTTTTATACAGAACAGGGAGAGAAAATTAAATGGACTGCAGAACTGGTAGAAAGACAGTTAATGTTGAATTCAGAGAAAGAAGGAAAATGGCTAATAAGCAAAAATGGGAATAGGCAATCTTAGCCTGAAGGCATGAAGTTTTCTGGGTGATTCAGTATCACTGAAGGTGAGTCAGCATGGATATTGCCATGAAAAAAGAAGACATGGCATGGGGTCATTCTATCCAGAACAGATGACCAGAAAAAGAAAAAAGGATCCAAAGACCCAAGAAGAAGTTCAAAAATATTATGAATAAAGACAAATTTTGAAATGGTTTACAAGTTCCTTGCATGCTTTGTTTTGTCTACTGGATCCTGAAGAACCTCCTTGCAACCAATGTATATTTGGAAAGATAACTGATTTTCTAACAGCCTTCCTGTAATGTGATGGGGAGGCGGGTCTCCAGTGATAATGGATAAGTTTGTAGCTGGCTGTTTACATAACAGTGTCATAAATCTTTATCAGTCCAGGAACCATTTATTACAACAGAAATAAATACAGATAATAATGGCATAAGGGCACTATCACCACTACTGTTTGTCATTGCATTGATTCCTCCGTCAAAAATACTGAACAAGTCAGGCCATGGCTATTAAACATCAAAAACATCTGCCAGGTTATCCCACACCCTTTATGTGAATGATCTGATGCTGTATAGAAAAACACCAACTGAAATGGAATCGCTGCTCACCATGGCTATTAAACATCAAAAACATCTGCCAGGTTATCCCACACCCTTTATGTGAATGATCTGATGCTGTATAGAAAAACACCAACTGAAATGGAATCGCTGCTCAATACTGTCCAAATATATAGCCAAGATATTGCAATGGAGTTTAGACTGGACAAATGTGTCACCCTGACCATCAACAGGGGAAAAATAGTGAAAGGAATCAAGATGCCCAATGGAAATAACATCAAGAGTCTGGATGAAGATCACTACAAATACCTGGGCATCCTTCAGGCTGACAACATCAAGAACACTGAAGTCAAGAAGAAGGTTAGTAGTGTATACATCAAAAGAATGAAGAAGACTCTTAAAGTCCAAACTCAGTGGTGGAAATATCATGAAGCTGATTAACACCTGGGCAATTCCAGTCATTAGATATACAGTGGAATAATGGACTGGACTCAAGCTGAACTAAAAGTCCTGGATAGGAAGACCAGAAAAATAATGACAGTGAATCATGCCCTTCATCCATGCAGTGACTTTGCAGACTTTACTTACCAGGGAACATGGGCGGGCATGGAATGTTACAAGTACACCAGACAGTTGAAGAAGAAAGAAGGGCATTGGAAGAGTATCTGAAGGACAGTGAAGAAGAGGCACTTTAGCTAGTACACCATGAAGGCTTACTGAATACCAAAGAAATCAAACTGGCCTATAAGAAAGAGCAAATGAAGAATAGAAGAGAGACATGGCAAGGCAAAGTATTACATGGCCAGTAGGCAAAAAAACTAGCAGACAATGTCTAAAAGCAGGAAAGTTGAAGAAAGAGACAGAGGGGCTTAACTTAACTGGGAACAGGGAGATTGTTCTAGAACTCCCAAGAGGGAGGCTTATTATCTGTTCTTCTGTTAGATGGCCAAAACCAGTTTAGGAGGGCTCTGGGAATATAAACAACTTTACAAAATGATAAGTGTTTTCATCTGAAATGCAGCAGCACTGATTTCATTATTGGTGACTGTATAGCTGATTTAACTGCACAAGACCAAGCTTTAAGAACAAATGCATACAAAGCCAGAATTGAGAAGACAGCAACAGACAG